GAAAACAAGGCAAAAGAAAAAGAAACAGCAATGATAAAAAGGCTAGGACGCAAACGGTGAAAAACGAAAAGAAGGAAATAGAGAAAGGAAAAGGAAAAGAAATAAGGAAGTAAACAGAGGAACAGCAAAAGAAGAAATAGAAAATGAGAGAAGATCAGAGAAAAGGAAACGAAAGCAATAAAAAAGCGGCAAGCAGAAGAATAGAAAAAAGGAAAGGAAAAAATGAAAGGGAAATTAATAAGGAAATAGAAGAAAAGGACGAAAGTAAAAAGCAAGGACAAGAAATAAGAAACAGTAGCAAGATGAAAAACAATACAGCACGATAGCAAGGTAAAAATGAGAAAGTAGGAGAGAAGAAAAGAAGAATAGAGAAGCGAGAAGAAGGAGACAGAAAGATAAAATAGGAGAAAACAAGATAAGGAAAAGACAATTATAATAAGTGCAATGAAAAACAAGAGCATAATAGGAAAGGAAGAGCAAGGCAAAAGACAAAAGCAACAGATGAGAAAAAGAACAACAGAGAGTACGAAGTGGATAAGAGAAAAGAATGAACGAGAATTAAAACACACAATATAGGAAGGGAGAGCAGAAAAAAGGGAAAACGAGGAGAGGGAGACGAAAAAAAGAAAAACAAGATAAATAATTAAAGATACCCTAAAGAAACAGAAAAGTAAATGCGGAAACAGGAAAAGTAGAAAGAAAAAATCAAGAACAAAAAGGCGGGAAGATTGACAGAGAAGAGCAAGAGAAATGAAAACAGGAAAGAAACAAATGACAACAGAGATAGAAGAAATAAAGAAAAGGCTAGCTAAAAACGACAAGGAGAGCAACATAGCCCAATAAGAGAAGAAACTAAAGAAACAAAAGAGCAAGGACAAGAAAAGCAAGCAGGCAGAGAAAGCGACAGACAAGACAGAGAAGACAATAGGAAAAAAAAAGACAAAACAAAGACCGTAAGGGGAACAAAAGACAAGAAATTAGAAAACAAGGAATGAAGAAAAATGTAAGAATAAAGAGAAAAAGAATGAGCCGAATAAAGGAGGAAGAAAGTAGACAAACGATGAAAGAATAGCGCAAAACAAGACGAGGAGACGAGAGGAGAAGAAACAACAAAGTACAGAGGAAGCCTACAAGTTGAGCAAGAGACATAAGGAAACAAAAAGGAAGCAGAAAAAAAGCTTGACAGAAGAATGGAAACAATAAGAATTAAAACATAAGAAGCGGGAAGTAAAATAAGAGAAACAGTAAGAATTATAATGAAGAAAAGCAATATGCTAGTAAATAGGAATAAAGGCAACAAGGGAAGAATGAAAAAGGGAAAGACAAAAGACAGGAACAGAGAGAGCAGAAATGAAAAAAATAAAAAAGACGATAAATAGAGACAGTAGGAAAGTAATAGAAGGGAAAAAAAGTAGGGAAAGAGATAGAAAGATAACGAAAGGCGGAAATAGAGAGAAGAAGTAGTAAACAGTATATAGAAGGTAAAAATTAGCAATATAAGTACAGGAAAATAGATAAAAAATCAGGAAAAAGAGAAGAGAAGGAGCAGAGGAAAGAAGGAAAAAAGAACGAGCAAGAGGAAAGGAACAAAAGACGACACGAGAAAGCAGAAGGAAGAAGAAAAATATAGACAAGGAAAAAGGAACAGAGAAGGAGACAGCAAAAAAGTGGAACAGGAATAAGCGAAATTAGAAACGAGAAAGAGGAACAGGAGTCGTAAATGAAAGAGAAGACAAAAGGAAGATAGATTAAGTCGAGCAAGTATAGAAGTGAACGAAATAGAAAGATACAACCAGGAACAAGGAATAAAAGAAAGAGGGACAGACAAGAACGAAAAGGATGAGAGCAATAGGTACGACATATATGACAAAACAAAGGAAAGCACAAGGAAAAAACAACTAATAAGAAGGAAGACCAATAAGGCGACGAGAAAAAACAATAAGTAGAATGCAACAATGACCAAAGAAGATATAATCAGGAAACAGAGTAAGAAAAGAAGAGAGTAACAAAGGCAGGAAAACAGGAACAAAAAGAAATAAGGAAGGAGAAAGGGAAGACGCGGGAAAAACAGAGACAGAACACAGACAACAATGGACAAACAAGAAGAAAAGGAACAGCAATGGAAAGATAAGAAAAAGATAGGAAACACGAAAAAAACAGAAGGTAAGAAAGGATAAAGAAGAAAGTAAGAAATAGTGAAAAAAAAGACATCAAGAAGACAGAAACAAGAAGAACAAGAAGCAGGAAGGAAATGAGTAACAACGGGATAAAATAGGAAAATACGACGAGATAATAAGGAGTAGGGAAAAAATATGAGAAAAATAAAAGGAAAGATAAGGATGGGAGAAAAAAATTAGGGAAAACATCAGGAGGTAAAGAGAGAAAGTAACGAGCAAAGCAGACAACGATAAGAAGAAAGGAAAAAAATAAAGAGAGGTAGAAAACAGCAGATATAAGACAGGAAGGACAAAAAAGAAACAAAGGAAAAAACAGAGGAGAAAAGGGCAAGCAAAAACAAGAAAGAGACAGGAGAAAATAGTTGAGAAAGAAAAGGAGAAAAAACAAAGAGAATGAAAAGAAAAGACAAACAAGCGAGATAAGATAGGAAAGCAAAAAAG